TTTATTTGGTTTTTTTGAGACAAGGTTTCTCTGTGGTTTTGGAGCCTGTCCTGGAACTAGCTCTTGTAGACCAGGCTGGTCTCGAACTCACAGAGATCCGCCTGCCTCTGCCTCCCGAGTGCTGGGATTAAAGGCGTGCACCACCACTGCCTGGTTTATTCTCAGTCTTGACAGCAGGTACCCACCCACTGATACATCTTGCTTGTCCCTTGGCCTTGAACTCTTGATCCTCTTTTTCTCAGCCACTCAGGTGCTAGGATTACAAATGTATACCACCATATAACTTATATTTTTTATATATAACATATATCTTAGCTTTTTTTTTAAGATTTATTTTTGTATACGGTTGTGTATACTGTTGTTCTGTCTTCATGCCAGAAGAGGGCACCAGATATAGATGGCGCCACCATGTGGTTGCTAGGAGTTGAACTCTTGACCTTTGGGAGAGCAACCTCTGAGTCTTCTCTCCAGCCCTAGCCATCTCTCCAGCCCCCATACTAATACTCTTAATAGGACTGGTTCCATGTACTGGAGACTGGGGAACTAGACCTTACTCTTTCCTAGTGGTACTTTTTTTTTTTTTTTTTTGCCTTTTTGTAGTTTTTATGTTGTCTATTGTCAAGTCCTATAGTTAGTTATCTGCTGAACCCCTGAGTTGAGTACAACTGCGGGGGTAGGGTGGGGAGAGCCTTGTCAGTGGCAGGAAGATGACTCATTGGGTTAAGGTGCTTCCTTCCAAGCCTAGTGACCTGAGTTTGACTTGGAATGCACATGGTAGAAAGAGAACTGACTCTCTGACCTTCACATACTAACTGTGGCTTGGATGCTACACATACAAGGGAATGTTAAAAAAGAAAAGGAAAAGGAATTCTGAAAGTATGTAAGGTGTCAGTGATAAAGACCAGTTGAACTGGGGCTATTAGTTTGGTCAGGAGTCTAGGCTACAACTTTGGCCATTGGGTGAAGGTGAAAGGACAATTTTGCTTAGGGGACTGAAATTCCATGCTCTGGACCTAACTCTTCACTTATCCCTAGCAGTGTAACACACGCCCGTTTGATAATGAGGAGAAAGACAAGGAATATAAACCCCATAGCATCCCTCTTCGACAGTCTGTACAGCCTTCCAAGTTCAACAGTTATGGACGACGGGCAAAGAGACTACAGCCTGATGTGAGTACTTTTCTTATTGCCACTTAACAGAGGCTTTGGAGTAGGAAGAATGCTGCTTGCTGACTGAAGCTATGCACTCTTTTGTGCTCTTAAGCATTTGGAGATCTGTTTGTACTGTACTTTTTGGGTTTTTTTTTTTTTTTTTTTTTTTTTTTTTGAGACAGGATTTCTCTGTAGCTTTGGAACCTGTCCTGAAACTCACTTGAACTGACAGAGTTCCTTCACCTGTCTCTCCCTCCCAGGTGCTGGGATTAAAGGTGCACTACTACTACATGGCCTGTACTGTATGTTTTTATATGTCTGCTCTTTGTGCCTGGTTTCTTCCTTTCTTCGAAGTCTTATTTCTATACCCTACCTTCAGGCGGAGAAGATTACGTACCATACTTTTGGGGGGGTGGCATGAAGGGGACAACAGAGAACAGTATATACATTATGTGTTCATTGAGGAATTTTTTGTTTGGCTGTGAAAGACCCCCAGTGCTGGGGAGACTCACTCAAGTCTCAGGATAACGCGACCCCCCCCAGTAACTCACGAGAGACTGTCCTTGCTGCAATCACATGAGGCTTTATTCGATGAGACAGGAACTGTCTCACTGGGGCTGAGACTCATAACCCACGCAGGGGAAGAGTTCTACCCTGAGTGACCTGGAGAAGCGTTTTTTTGTTTGTTTGTTTGTTTTTTTCGAGACAGGGTTTCTCAGTAGCTTTTGGTTCCTGTCCTGGAACTAGCTCTTCTAGACCAGGCTGGGCTCGAACTCACAGAGATCCACCTGCCTCTGCCTCCTGAGTGTTTAAAGGCGTGCGCCACCACTGCCCGGCTTGGAGAAGGGGTTTTTATAGGAAGAAACCACAGCCCAGTAATCCGAAAGGGGCAGGGAGGGTGTCACAGAAAATCACAAGGGGGCAACTCCCTGCCTCTGAAGATCACTCAAGGTCATAATTAGCTAGTTTCTGAAACACAGTATCCCAAAAATACCTAATGATAATCACAAGGGGGGGGGGTGTACACGTGGACACGGGACTCCCTGTTTCTCAAGATTACAATCTATCTTCGGCTAGTTCCTGAAACACAGTTACTCAACTGGCTAATCCTGGATTTCTGATTCTTCTCTTCCTGCTTAGATTTTCAGCTATTTTCTTCCTGCTGGGGGGGGGGTCTGGATTTATCCAGGTCTTTCAGTTGGGGTTCCCCCCCCAGACAGGGTTTTCCTGTAGCTTTGGAGCCTGTCCTGGAACTAACTTTTGTAGACCAGGCTGGTCTCAAACTCACAGAGATCTGCCTGCCTCTGCCTCCCAAGTGCTGGGATTAAAGGCGTGCACCACCACCGCCCCGCTCTCACTGAGAAATATTAATTTAGCAGGCCATATTAATCTCAATTTTTTTTTTTGAGACAGGGTCTTACTTTGTAGCTTTGACCAGTCTAAAATTTGCTGTGTAGACCTGGATGGCCTCAGACTCTCAGAGATCTACCTGTCTCTACCTCCCAAGTGCTGGGTTAAAGCCATGTACTTCCTACATAAAGCAATAATGCTACTTTTTATTTTTTTGAAAGTTTTTAAATGTTTTTAATTGAAATTGTCTTATTTATACAATTTTTCCCTTTCCTTCCTTCATCTTCTCCCAGGTATCTTCTTTCAAACTATGACCCCTCTCAAGTTGATAACCTCTTTTTCTTTGATTATATTTTTTGTGTATGTTCATGCATATATGCAATAAATATACATATAAATACATGATCTCAAAGCTGGTCACTTTGCATTGGAAAGTCAGATAAAGGGGCTCATCCCTGGGAGAAGCTACTTCTCGCAATCAGCATTTGCCTGTAGTTTGTGTGTGCCAGCCATGATAATTTAAGTCTGGGGAGAAAGGAAGTTCTTTACTTCCTCCAACCATTATCACCTGGGACTCTGGCCATGGATGAATTTAAATGGAGTCTAGAGTCTCAATAGTTTACCCTGAGACTATGCCTGGCAGGCTGAGATTACCTGATCCCCACCCGAGAGCAGACCATTCAAAGGAAATTCCTGGCATTCCAAGCATTGTAAATAGAAACACCTGCCAGCACTTCACCAGGACACCCCTAGACAAATATCAGTCTGGGGTCCTGGACCTCAGAGGCCTCTCACCCCCACCTTTACTATTATAAAATCCCAATTCTAATTGAGCTCGGGGCTCTCCAGATATTCCAATATGTTGGACATGCGGAGAGACCGAGTTTGCAAACTTGGTTAAAATAAAGGCTCTTTGCTTTTACATATGGGACTCGGTCTCCTTTGTTGGCTTTCATGGGGACCCACGGATTTGGGCTTAATATAGTTCTTTGTCTAGGAGTGGAACACCATGAAATTCGCCCCCCTCCCCCATGTTAACATGTTCATTGATATTACCATTCTGGTCTTAAGCAGTCTTTTTTGCTTTGTTTGTTTTTTTTGTTTGTTTGTTTGTTTGTTTGGTTTTTCGAGACAGGGTTTCTCTGTGGCTTTGGAGCCTGTCCTGGAACTAGCTCTGTAGACCCACAGAGATCTGCCTGCCTCTCCCTCCCAAGTGCTGTGATTAAAGACGTGCACTACCACACCTGGCTTATGCAGCCATTTTTAGGAGAGACTTTCACAGCAGATTTCCTATTGTTCTGGCTCTTAGAATCTTTCCATCCCTCCTTCACAATATTCCCTGAGCTGTAGATACAAGAACTATGATGTAGATTTATCCACTGGGGCTGGGCTCCTCACAGTCCATTGACCTTTCTTCATTATGTCCAGCTGTGGTTTTCTGTGATGATTTTCATTTGCTGTAAAAAGAGGCTTCCTTGATAAGGGATGAATAGCTTCTTTGAATAACTATTTGAGAAAAGTGGTTCGAGTACCACTCTGCATCTTCAAATATGTTATCCTTAAGTTATGAGATAGTAATTAATATTTTTATTTTATGGTTGGCAACACTGAGAGTCTGCCTTTAATTCCTTTTCGGTTTTCTTTTAATTTTTTTTTTAAAGCGCATCAAACACGCCTAGACATTATTTATTATATGTCACAAACCTACAGACCCCTCAGTAAACCCTCCTTGGAGCCCGGCCCCAGCAATTTAAAGCTGAAGACCTGGACTTTTTTTCTTTTTAGAGTTTTATGTGTATGGGTGTTTAGTTGCATGTGTGTATATGTACCGTGTGTGTGCCTGGTGCCTGTGGATTCCAGGAGAGAGTATTAGATTCCTTGGAACTGGGGTTGTAGATGGATTGTTAGCTGCTATTTGGATGCTGAGAATTGATCCTGAGTTCTCTGGAGGAGCAGCCAGTGCTCTTCACTGAGTCATCTCTCCAATCCCTAGATTTGTTTTTTAATTATGTGTATGCATATGTGTTTTTGTGGAGGCATATGAACATGTGAGTATAATTGCCCACAGAGGCCAGAAGGAAGAGTCTGATTCTTTGGAGCTGGAGTTACAGGTGATTGTGAGCTGCCTGCATGGGTTTTCTAGCTCCTGAAATTCTTATATTTGAAAATTTAATATATATACAGTATATCTTGATCATATATACCTTTCAATCCCCCACTTCTTCTAGGATACTTATCATATCTCCCAACTTCATATCTTCCTTTTACACTTTTTAATTAATTAATTGATTTTTTTTTTGATCTTCTGAGTTCTTTAAATTTTTTTCTTTTGGTTTTTCAAAACAGGGTTTCTCTGTAGCTTTGAAGCCTGTCCTGGAACTAGCTCTTGTAGACCAGGCTGGCCTCGAACTCACAGAGATCCGCCTGCCTCTGCCTCCGAGTGCTGGGAGTAAAGGCGTGCGCCACCACCGCCGGGCTTGAGTTCTGTAAAATTTGTGTTGCTCATTTGCACAGGGGTGCGTGGTCATCCACCAGGGCATGAAGAACCTACCAGTTGCCTCTCTCCTTTCCTTGGCAACTGTCAACTACTAATAGCTTCTCAGCTAGAGATGGGACCTCATAAATCCCTAAATTTTCTCATTATTATTATTATTAGATTTGGGGTGTGTGTGTGTTTGTGCATGTACATATCTGTATATTCCTGCTTTGGCAAACATATACTAAAGGGCAATTTACTGGAGTTGGTTTTTCCCTTTTACCACCTGGGTCCCAGAGGTTCAGGCTTGATGGCAAGTAAGAGCCTTAACCTTTTGAGTTAAGATATGATAACCTTTAAAATTAAGACTTAGAGCCAGACAGTGATGCATGCTTTTAATCCCAGCACTTAGGAGGTAGAGGCAGATGGTTTTCTGTGAGTTCGAGGCCAGCCTGGTCTACATAGTGAGTTCCAGGACAGCCAGGACTGTTGCACAGAGAAACCCTGTCTTGAAAAACCAAAAAAAAAAACAAAAAAATCAAAAAAAACCAAAACAAACAACTTAGGACTTATCCCTAGTCTTCAAAGAGTAACTCTGAATTCTTGCTGTGGCCCATCTGTGCATGAGTTCTTGGCACAAACTGTGTGTGTGTGTGTGTGTGTGTAGATACAGATATATAAACTATAGATATAGTCTGAACTTTTAGTGTTTTGCAGCCTGTTCCATATAATATTTTTTTTTAAATATTTATCGTGTATACAATAGTCTGTCTGCAGGCCAGAAGAGGGCACCAGACCTCATTCCAGATGGTTGTGAGCCAACATGTGGTTGCCGGGAATTGAACTCAGGACCTTTGGAAGAGCAGGCAATGCTCTTAACCACTGAGCCATCTCTCCAGCCCCCAGATAGTATTTTTTTTTTTTTTAAGATTTATTTATTATGTATACAACATTCTGCCTCCATGTATGCCCACACACCAGAAGAGGGCGCCAGATCTCATTACAGATGGTTGTGAGCCACCATGTGGTTGCTGGGAATTGAACTTAGGACCTCTGGAAGAATAGCCAGTGCTCTTAACCACTGAGCCATCTCTTCAGCCCCCAGATAGTATTCTTGATTCATTTTGTTTCCTGTTTTCTTTGTAGCCGGAACCCACAGAGGAAGACATTGAGAAAAATCCAGAACTAAAGAAGCTACAGATATATGGAGCAGGTCCCAAGATGATGGGGCTAGGTCTTATGGCCAAGGATAAGACTCTTCGGAAAAAAGGTAAGGCCTAAGATACTGGGGATGATTTCAGGACTGTTAATGTCTCAGAATTAAATTTGGAACCACTTTTCTCTCTACAGATAAGGAAGGACTTGAGTGTCCCCCCACTGTGGTGGTAAAGGAAGAATTAGGTGGGGATGTGAAGATGGAATCAGCCTCACCCAAGACCTTCCTAGAAGGCAAGGAGGAACTGAGTCATAGTCCCGAGCCCTGCACCAAGATGACCATGAGGCTGCGAAGGAACCACAGCAATGCCCAGTTTGTAAGGACCCAGCCCTGACTTCCTAGAGCTCTGCTTCTCATCCCTTCAGTGAGCATTTCTCCAGCGTGGCACTGGACTAGGTTGCATTAAGTAGAAAAGTGGGTCTAGAGAGCCCTGTCTGCAGGTAGCTTACTTAAGTGGGGAAAACAAGGCCAGCTAATTTGGAACAAAGAAAAGAATACATAGCTACTGTCCACAAAGTGCTAGAAGGGTCCAGAGATGACTCTTACTGTCCAGTGCTTCAGGATAAAGGCTAAAATCTTCATTATCGTCATTGTCATGCATGGTCCAGTCCCTGTTGACCTCTAACCTCATTGCCCTGTGCTGCCTACCTCACTTCTCTGCTATAGCTGTTCTGAACTACTTGTAGGTATATTCATTTTTTTTTTATTAAAGAGATGAGCCTTTATTTCTTTTGTAATCCTGCATTCCTTGCACATATGGTTCCTTCTGCCTCAAGGAATTTCTCTTTTTGCTTTGCTTCAGTTGCCAAACACTAGTTTCCTTTCAAGTTTCAGTTAGCTTCAAATGTCCCCTTCAGGGGGGCTGGAGAGAGGATTCAGAGGTTAAGAGCACTGGCAGGGGTTCTGAGTTCAATTCTCACAGCCATCTATAATGAGATCTGGTGCTCTCTTCTGAGGAATAGGCATACATGCTGACGGAACACTGTATATATAATAAATAAATCTTTAAAAAAAAAAAACTGTCCCCTTCAGAATGAAGTACTCCCTGGAAGTCCTCCCTCACCTCTAAGTAATATGAGTGCTATTTCCTTCTCTAGGTTCCCATAGTACTTCTTACTGGCTACTATGGCAGTTTCAGTTTTTATGAACATTCTAGTACTATGTGCCCTTTGAAGGTAGTTACCAGCTCTTCCACATCTCTGTGCCATAGAATACAGTGCTTATTGAATGAATAAGATGAGAAGATTGAAGACTAATAAGACTGTTCTCGCGGGGCAGTGGTGATGTGAACCTTTAATTGTAGGAGGCAGAGGCAGGCAGATAGATCTCTGAATTCAAGGCCAGCCTAGTCTATAGAGCTGGTTGTAAGATAGCCAAGGCTACACAGAGAAACCCTGTCTAGAAAAAAACAAAAAGAAAAAAAAAAACATTGCTTTCTCATCTGTCTTTTTTTTTTTTTTTTCTTCTTCCAGACAGGGTTTCTTTGTAACTTTTTGGTTCCTATCCTGGAACTAGCTCTTGTAAACCAGGCTGGCCTTGAACTCACAGAGATCACCTGCCTCTACCTCCCGAGTGCTGGGATTAAAGGAGTGGCGCACCACCCGGCCTGCTCTCATCTCTTCTTGTTTGGAGGAAATAGTGCATACATGCAGGCGAACTCCAGACCTTGTATAGGGCCATGAACAACCAAGCCATCAAACACCTCTGACTTCCAATGGAGAACTCTCTGGAATAGTATATTGTCTGGAGGGGCCTGTGTTTGAAGGCTGGGCAGGGCCTATATTGATATAACTCGTTGCTTCTCTTGGCAGATTGAGTCATATGTGTGCCGAATGTGTTCCCGAGGAGATGAAGATGACAAACTTTTGCTGTGTGATGGTTGTGATGACAATTACCACATCTTTTGCCTGCTGCCTCCTTTGCCTGAGATCCCGAAAGGTGTCTGGAGGTGTCCAAAATGTGTCATGGCGGTAAGGCCTCTCCAGTCCATGTGAGATACCTTATTTTCCTATGTGTAATCTAAGGGGAGGCTCCTACCTTAGGTATAGTATTATGTTTTGGGACTTTAGAGTGAGACGAGGCTTTGCAGAGCTTTGTGAGAAAGAGGAAGAAAAAATGTAATTTATACTCTTGTCCTGTGGGAGTTACCAGACTACCTATGGGGTGTTATGATTAGATGGACTGTGTGTGATGATGAACTATGTGTCTCAACATTTAAGCAGATGTTAAAACATATTAGAAACCCTGAGTTGGGGCTGTTGAGATGGCTCAGAGGTTAAGAGCACTGCCTGCTCTTCCAGAGGTCCTGAGTTCAATTCCCAGCAACCACATGGTGGCTCACAACCATCTGTAATGAGATCTGGCGCCCTCTTCTGGCGTCTAGGCACACATGAAGGCAGAACACTATACATAATAAATAAATCTTTAAAGAAAAGTAAAAAGAAACTCTGAGTTGTAGTAGTTGACCAGATAGGAAAGGTGGCTTTTTGTTTGCTTGTTTGGTTTGTCATTTTGTTGATATATTATCTCACTCTATAGCACAGACTGGCCTCAGACTCAGATCAATTTTCCTTCCTTAGTCTTCCAGAACCTGGGATTATGGGTATGAGCTACCATGTCCAGATCAAGGAAAATTAAGAGTAGTGATTACGGAAGATCTCAAGAATGAGCATTAAATGACAGAATTAACTATCTATAGATAGACCTTTTAGCTCAAAGCTAGGGTTTTGATCGTGCTAAGGAAGTACTTTCTACTACTGAGCTCTATCTCCAGCCTGTGTCCTATTATTTAATTTATGTTTTGAACTCACTTTGTGGCCCAGGCAGGCCTTAAACTTGTAGTCTTCCTTCAGCCTCCCAAGTTAACTGGAATTGTGGGCTTGCACTATCTAGAAAATAAAATAAAATCAATGTCCTTTTGATTCTCAAGTATTTTCTTTTCTCCATCATATATATATATATATATATATATATATATATATATATATAATTACCTTTAAGACACTTAAAAAGTCTTGTTCTATACTTTATAAAGACTTTTATACCTCATACCCTTTCTGTAGTAAATGAATTAAAGATACAAAGTTTTCATCAAATAAATATAATGATTACTTGCTTTCCTCCTGTTAGGGTATTTAGATTTGGCTGTAGAAGAGGTTCATTGGTGTTTCAGATAGGGAAACAGGATTTTGCAGGAACAGAGATATTCAGGAGAGAAAGTGCCTAGGGCTGGTGGGTGTAGTGTAGTAAGGAAGAGACAGAGCAGCAGTGAGGGATAAGTACCCAGGATGTCTGACAGATTCATTTCATATCTTTCCTACCTTCATCCGTATTCTCCATGCTCATCTATATTTCCCTCTGGGTTTCTGGAGGTCATACATTGGTGGTCCTGCCTTATTCCAGACAAGACAGGTGTGCACATGCATACATACAAAGGATGAAGAAGGACTAGGATACTGTACTGGTTCCAGCCTAGGCATTAAGGAAAAGTTTTCCTGAGCAATATGCATCAAGTCACATTTTTATTGGAGAGATAATACAGCAACAGAAGAGCATGTTGAAGTTGCTCATGGTTAGCAGTTAATTGGGTGTGAGGCAGGTTCTCAATAGAACATAATTATGGGTGTGGGGTTCTCTGCAGACCCCCCAGGGTGATGGTTCCTGTAATGATTTTTAGGGGGGGAAATGGCTCCTGACAGTCCTAGGAGAAGATCATGAACTGTAGTGATGAGGGAGGACTGTTTACAGGCTAGGAGACTGACACTGAGTTTCTGTGTTTTATTTTCTTTTTTTGGGTGGGGGGAATAGTGGTTGTGTTACTGGGGATCAAAATTAGGTTTTATGTACACTAGGAAAGTAATCTCCCACAGAGCTAAATCCTTTGTCCGTCCGTCCTTCCTTCCTTCCTTCCTTCCTTCCTTCCTTCCTTCCTTCCTTCCTTCCTTCCTTCCTTCCTTCCTATTTTTAGAGAAAAAAAAGAAAACAATCTTTTTTTTCATTAAAAATACCAATCCAAGTTCCCACTCCCTTCCTTAGTCCTTTTCTTGTTTTATTTGTTTGTTTGAGACAGGATCTCTATGCAGACCAGGCAGTCCTCATAAAAATCTTCCTGCTTCTGCCTCCCGTGTGCTGGGATCAAAAGCATATACTACCACACCCAGCAACTTTTTTATTGTTCTGTTTTTTTGAGACAGAGTCTTGTTGTGTAGTCCAGGCTGGTTTGTAAAGATCATGTACACCTGGATGGCATCTAACTTAGATCCACCTGTTTGTGTTTCCTGATTGCTGTAAGCACTTGGTTTCTCAAAATCAGTTAAGTAGCCCAGGTCACAATGCCTTTGTCTTGGGTTTTCCAAGTGCTAGAATTAAGATATGAGCCAGAGTACCTTCAAGTTGGCTTTTGTTTGTTGGAGACAAGATTTTCTTAAGAAGTATCTTGCTACATTTTTCAAACTAATCTTGGGTTTGTGGGCCTCAAGTGATTGATCCTTTTGCCTTGGGGTCTGAGTAGCTAGGATTATAGGCTTATATGACAGTACTTAATTTGGAGTTTGGTTGTTTGTTTCAGTGTTGAAGTGATCCAACCAAGAGTTTCATATTCTGGGCAAGTGTTCTAAAAGTTGTATTTTGAAGGCAGTAAAAATAAGGAGGAAAGGGGCTAAGAGTATAGCTCAATGGTAGAGTGTCAAACCCTAGCACCCAAAAAAGAAACAACAAAAGTAGTATTAGAAGACATTCCCATGGAGATTGAACTCTTTATGTTGGTCACTTTCCAGTACCTGAGAGAAACAGTTTACTATTTATTTAGTTATGTTTATTTTATATGTATGAGTGTTGTACCTGTGTGTACTTTGCACCGTGTGCATGCCTGGTGCCCACAGAGGTCAGAAGAGGATTGTGAATCCCCTGGAACTGGAGTTGCAGATGGTTGGGAACACTATGTGGGTGTTAGAAACTGAACCTGTATCTTTTGCAGGAGCAGCAAGTACTCTTAACTGCTGAGCCATCTCTCCAGACCCTGAGAGAACCAGTTTAAAGATTTTGGCTTAGAGTTTTAGAGATTCAGTCCATCATGGTGGGGAAGTGCTTAGGGTACAACTAACATTACAAGAGCTAGAAAGCAGAAAGACTGTGTTGGGCTGGGCAAAGATACTGCCTCCGAGAACCCAACTCCTGACCTACTTCTCTTAAAGTCTGTAGAGCTTTCCAAAATAACACCACTATCTTGGGAGCAATTATTTAATGCATGAACTTTCTGGGGAGGACCCTTCATACCCAATCCCTAACAGGGAGCAGAAGTGTGACAGAAATGCTGTGTGACATGAGTAGATTTGATAAGTTGAGGTGGTAAGAAGGAAAAAGTAGCACTGTAAAGTAAGGCTTGTCTCAGGAGACTTGAAGGCATACCTAGGGCTGGTCTTCCTCCCTGCTCCTATCCCATGTTTTCAGTCCACTTTAGATTATTTTCTCTTTGCCTCTATTTTTATAACTTTTTCTGTCTCCTTTGGGTTTTAGGAGTGTAAGCGGCCCCCTGAAGCCTTTGGCTTTGAGCAGGCTACCCGGGAATATACTCTGCAGAGCTTTGGGGAGATGGCTGACTCCTTTAAAGCTGACTACTTCAACATGCCTGTACATGTAGGTGATGGAGGACTGGGGTAGTGCTGGGGCTATTTTCATGGGCATTGGTACTGTACCTCCCCTAAGTTAATGTGACAGGATAAAATGGGCTCTGATTATCTACCATCTTTGTTTACCCAGATGGTACCCACAGAACTTGTAGAGAAAGAGTTCTGGCGGCTGGTGAATAGCATTGAGGAAGATGTGACTGTTGAGTATGGGGCTGACATCCATTCCAAAGAATTTGGCAGTGGTTTCCCTGTCAGTGACAGTAAGCGGCATCTAACTCCAGAAGAAGAGGTGAGTGGGTTATTATTATGGTTGTATATGTCAGTTGTGTGAGCTTGGCCAAGTCATTTAGTTTCTGAAAGACCAGTGTCTTTCAGAGATAATTATACCTGCCTTAAATAGTTGCTTTGAGATTAAATGAAGTGCTATATATAAAGAACACAGCCTAGCTGGGCGATGGTGGCGCACGCCTTTAATCCCAGCACTCGGGAGGCAGAGGCAGGCGGATCTCTGTGAGTTCAAGACCAGCCTGGTCTACAGAGCTAGTTCCAGGACAGGCTCCAAAACTACAGAGAAACCCTGTCTCGAAGAAAAACAGGAAAAAAAAAAAAAAAAAGAACACAGCCTAGGTAGCATCTGAAATGTGTATGTATGAGATGCTTTTTTCCCCCCTGTGAACCCCATTTCCTAATTTGTAATATGGGGTTATACCTACTGTGCAAATTTGTTGTAAGGATTATGTGAGAAGTAGGAAAAGTGACCTAAGAAGTACTGGGCGCTTCCATATCTGTTCAGTAAATAGGATTTATATGCATAGGTAGAATTGAGAGTCCAAGTTTGACTGAGGAAAGAATGTGTTTGGGTTCAGGGCTTTGCTTTTGTTTTTGTTGTTTTGGTATTTTCCTTTGTTGGGTTTGTTTTTTGTTTGTTTTTGTTTTTGGCTTGTTAGGTTTTAATTTTCTTTTAAAGATTTTATTTATTATGTATACGATGGTCTACCTATACGACAGAAGAGGGCACCAGATCTCATTGTAGATGACTGTGAGCCACCATGTGGTTGCTGGGAATTGAACTCAGGACCTTTGAAAGAGCAGCCAGTGCTCTTGACCTCTGAGCCATCTCTCCAGTACCTAAGTTTTAATTTAAACTTGAAAAATCGGTGCATAAAAATACTAAAAATATGAATATTAAAATATTGGGGCTGGAGAGGTTGCTCGGTAGTTAAGAGCACTTGCTGATTTTTCAGAAAACCCAAATTCCATCCTAGTGCCCACATTGGGCAGCTCACACCTGCCTGTAACTCAAACTCCTGGGATCCAACATTCTTTTCTGGCCTCCATGGGTACTTAGGTGATACATATGCATACACTTACTTATTAGTAAAAACTAATCTTGCTGGGTTATGGTGGCCACACCTTTAATTCCAGCACTTGGGAGGCAGAATATATACAAAAGCAAGTAACTTAAAATTTAAGTTCTTGAATGTGATCACTCGCTCTCAGCACTTAAAAGACTCAGGCATTGTTACTGTGACTTTGGTGTTGGACTGAGCTACAGAGTGAGATCCTGTCTTACACTAAACAAATGGGGCTGAGGAGGTGGCTTAGTTGGTAAAGTGACTGCTGTGCAAGTGTGAGGACCTGAGTTTGGATCTCTAGCAACCGCATAAAATTAGATGAAGAGAACACAGCCTAGGTAGCATCTGAAGTGTGTATATATGAGATGCTTTGTCACCCTCATGAATCCTAACACCCTCGTGTCCCATGCATGGTGTGCCGGTGAGTACCCAGGAATGTAAGCAAGGGATAGGAATGATACACTGATGACTTTTGTGGTAATAATTATAGATGTGCCAGCTAGCTTCTGGAACTCTAGTGCTGAGTAACAGTGACTAGAGACAGGGAGATCAGCATAATCAGTTTAACCAAGTGGTAGCCTCTGGAATCAGTGAGAAACCCTGTCTAAAAATTAAAATGAAGAGTGATAGACGAAGATACCTCTGACTTCCACGTGTATGATCATACATGTGCACCTACAAAAACATATACTCAATACACTACATGCACACACACAAAGTAAATAAAACAAAAAAAATGCTGGGTTTGGTAATTTAGGCCTATAATCCCAGCTACTCAGGAGATTGAGGCAAGAGGATTACAAACTCAAGGCCTACTGGTGCAGCTTAGTAAAACCCTATCTCAAAATCAGAAGTAGAAAAGACTCAGGATATAGTGGCCGATTTTGTGAGGCCCAAGGTTTAATCCTCGGTGCTGGAGGGGAAAACTCAGTTCCGTAGCATAATCCTCATCCTTCTGTACAAATACTTGATCTGACAGGAGTATGCTAAGAGTGGTTGGAACCTGAACGTGATGCCTGTATTGGAGCAGTCTGTATTGTGCCACATCAATGCAGATATATCTGGCATGAAGGTACCCTGGCTCTATGTGGGCATGGTCTTCTCAGCCTTTTGCTGGCATATTGAGGATCACTGGAGTTACTCCATTAACTACCTCCACTGGTAAGTGGGGCCATGGTGAGCGGGAGGCAGTCAGGATGGGCTCTCTACATAACCATGTATATGACCATTCTGTATCCCCTTTAACTTGAGCAGGGGTGAGCCAAAAACCTGGTATGGGGTCCCATCGCTTGCAGCAGAACACTTGGAAGAAGTGATGAAGAAGCTGACACCTGAGCTTTTTGATAGCCAGCCTGATCTCCTTCACCAGCTTGTCACCCTCATGAATCCTAACACCCTCATGTCCCATGGTGTGCCGGTGAGTACCCAGGAATGTAAGCAAGGGATAGGAATGATACACTGATGACTTTTGTGGTAGTATCACTGCCTTTTCTTATTCCTGTTCTACCTTGATGGGGCTGTAGGTTTGATTGCTCTGAGGTCCATGGTCATCATGGTTGGTTAAATATACAATGTGATAGAGTTCTCTGGGCCATGTGTTTGGGGGAAGTACCTTAGGGATGCCTCATCATATCTAGGTTCCAGTTATTGGCAAAGGGAAGTGGAGGAAGGACAGAGCTAGAAAGTGTTGCTTTTGTCTTTAATTTTATTGGTGTTTATGTGTGTGTCTGCGTATCTCTGTGGAGGCCAAAGAAAAGGTGTTAAATCCCCTATAACAGGAGCTATTGGTAGTTATGAGCCACTTTGTGAGTGTTAGGAACCAAACTCAGATCTTCTGCAACAGCAGCAAGTACTCTTATCTACTGAGCCATGTTTCCGAAACAAGAAATAAAGGAAGGAAGGAAAAAAGAGAGAACAAATACTGGAAAATGGGATTCTTATTCTGGATTGTCAAATACTACCAACAGATTGGAGGTCATGTTTTTATGAAATATCAGGACAGTTACTGAGTGTATGTGCATAAATTATTTTTAATTAATTAATTGTTTTGGGGAATTTGGAGATGGTCTCTCTATATAGCCCTGGTTGTTCCAAAACATTTATGTAGGTCTGGTTGCCCTTGAACTCACAGATCCACCTACCTCTGCCTCTTGAGTGCTGGAATTAAAGGTGTGTGCTGCCATGCCTGTCCATATTTTTTTTTTTTTTTTGAGATAGGAACTTACTATGTAGCCTTGGCTAGCTAGAGCTGCTGTATAGACGAGGCGATCCTTGAACTCAGAGAGATCTGCCTGCCTCTGCCTCCTGAGTATTGGGATTAAAGACATGTGCCATCACACTCAGCTTGTCTGTTACATTTTTATACTGATAACCTGGGGTAATAGTTATGTTTTTTACTTATTGAAAGGTTTTAAGTTGAACCTAGGGTCCTGGGTCTGTCCTCTTTCTCTGGATAATTCTTTCATCCTGTAAAACTTTCTGCTGGGTAAATAAACTGGCTAAGACCTATTTTATATCAGGAATTTTTAGCATTTAGTAGCCTCGGTCATTGTTTTTGGTGTAGATTTTTTTTGTTTTGTTTTGTTTTGTTTTTTGAGACAGGATTTCTCTGTCTTGACAGTCCTGGCTGTTCTGGAACATGCTTTGTTGACCAGACTGACTTGAACTCACTAAGCTCCACAGGCCTCTGCCTCTTAAGTACTGTTGTACAAGTTGTGTGCCACCACTGCCTGACCTTTGATGTAGATTTTTTTTTTAATTTATTTATTATGTGTCGGGGTCCAAAGCCCCAACATAAAAACTACTTTTCCCCCTAACTGGACCGATATGGAGGCGCAGGAAATAATGAGACACTGTTCATACAGCAATATCAGAAGGGCATCTCAGGCTTCATTCATTCCTGAAGATCTACCTGTGTTTATTCCTTAAATGTTTTATTCCCCCCAGGTAAACCAAGGTGGAAACTCATTAATATTCTTTTTCCAGGATGTAGGAGTGCCAGTACCAGCACACCAGTGACTTAGTCACCAGCTTGGAATTCACACCTCTTCCCAGGCGATCTACATAATAACAAAGAGAAGGAGCAGTCCTTCCTGAGCCTTTTGTTAGGTGGCTGCAGGTGTCTGGCAGGATAGCAACTGCCCTTGGAAGCTAAGCATGGCCAAAGAACCTAGCTGCAAATATCTCATATGAAATATGGGCCTACAATTATGTATACAGTGTTCTGTCTGCATGTATGCCTGCAGGCCAGAAGAGGGTACCAGATCTCACTACAATTCCCATGTGGTTGCTGGGAATTGAACTCAGCAGGACCTCTAGAAGAGCAGCCAGTGCCCTTAACCATTGATCCATCTCTCCAGCCCCCTGGTGTAGATCTTAAAGAATTAGTGTATCCTCTATCTTTACTTTAACTCTAATTCTGTTATTACTCCCCCCCCTCCCCCGCAAGACGTAATAGTTTTTCTGTGTAGCTCTGGCTGTCATGGAATTTGAGCTGTAGACCAGGCTGGCCTCAAACTCAGAGATATGCCTGCTTTTTCCTCCTAAGTGCTGGTGTATTACTAATTTTTTTAAAAAATATTTTCTGTGGTTTATTTAACTTACTTTATTTTATGTGCATTGGTGTGAAGGTGTCAGATCCCCTGCAACTGGATCTTCAGACAGTTTTGAGTGCCATGTGGGTGCTGGGAACTGAACCCGGATCCTCTGGAAGAGCAGTCAGTACTCTTAACCACTGAGCCATCTCTCCAGCCCCCTAATTTTTATTTCAGACAAACTCATGTAGCCCAAGATAACCTTCAGTGCCTAATACTCCTACCTCCCAGGTGCAGGGATTATAGAGATGTGCCACTTTACTTGGACTCCGTTCTACTATTTGTCCTATTCTTTTCCACCTGCTCTGTGGTAGATAGTTGGTAAATCTCAAATTAATGTGATAGGCATTGTGGTAGCTATAGTAGGATATGGTAGATAATTGGAAAACCTCAAGTATGTCTTTTTGGTTTTTCAAGACAAGGTTTCTCTGTAGTTTTAGTGCCTGTCCTGGAACTCGCCCTTGTAGACCAGGCTGGCCTCGAACTCACTGCCTGCGTCTGCCTCCCCATTAAAGGTGTGCATCACCACCACCCAACCATCTTCTTGAGGTATCTTAGGATATTTGTAGAGAAGAGCTTTCCCACGTGAATTTTCTTACCTTATTTCCATATATGTTTGAATGATATTTTATAACTTTTAATGACATTTAACCAAGAATCAGAATATCTAGGGAACTATACATGAAAAAGGACATTCTACAACAATAGTACAGATATTATTCTTCTACTTGGGGCTTTCCTTTTTCTTCTTTACCTGACCGACCCTACTTAAAGATTCCGGGACTCTTAAGTGGTAAAGAAGGACTGGGGATATAGTTTAGTGTTTGGGTTTATGGTATACATGAAATACCACACCAAACAAAATGATTGTGGGCCCTTCATTTCTGCTGATTCACAAGTAGCTATTGCGTCTAACCTTTCCTCAGACTTTTTCTTCCTCATCCATAGCATATTCTTTGTCTAAAATATAAAGGAAAGCTATAGAGTAAAAGAGGGTTCGCTTTAAGGATTAGGGCAACTAAGATACAGAGTGGGACAGGAGTCAGAGCTGACCCCTTTTAACCTCTTTTTAAAAAATTATCACAGACATTCAAACATGCACATTATTATTTTTTCTTTTTTTCCTTTGGTTTTCTGAGACAAGGTTTCTCTGTAGTTTTAGTGCCTGTCGTGGAACTAGCTTTTGTAGCCTACACTGGCCTCAAACTCACAGAGATCCTCCTGAGTGCTGGGATTAAAGGTGTGTGCCACCACTGCCCAGCTCATGCACATTATTTCAACCTCCACAGTATTTTTCTTGTTCGTGGTTTACCAGCTTCTCTGACCAGCTGTTGCTTCACTGCTGTCTCTGACCATCCTGCCCTTCTAGACTGAATAGTTCTCAGTATCTCTAGGCTCTTTGGATTGTCAATATACGTTCCAGTCCAAATTACCTGTGAGCTTCATGTTCCTACTTGGCAGGCTACAGTTTAGTAAGTAAGCTATGTTTAGGTCCTTGTGTCATGTCATGTCATGTGTATCGCATATACCTCCCCCCCCACTGTGCTCCCTTTGTGAAATGCCATTTCTTTTAAGGAAGCATACCTCCTTTCCAAAAAATGGAAAATAGGTCATTTCCTAATCCCTACATCCTAAACATTTGCTATATGTCCATGTTACTTTTTTTATGTAAAGTTTGATGAAGCAGTAAACTGTGAATTTTATAATCTCTTATATGTATGATCTAGAACTGCACTGTCCAGTTTGACAGCCATTAGTCACATGTGGCCACTGAGCATTTCAAATGTCTAGTCCCAGATGAAATCTACCAAGTATAAAATGAATGTTGAAATTGAGACTTAGGTTTAAACAAAAAATGTAATATTTCACGAATACTTTTATATAACACCTACACGCTTCAATGACAACATTCTAGGTTTGTCACATAACAAAATAAAGTTATTTTACTTGGGTTTTTCTTTCTTTCTTTTCTGATGTGGCTACTAAAAAATTTACAAGTGACCAGGCTTCACTTGAAATTATGTCCCTATAATCTGAGCTGCTTGACAAGCTGAGTCAGAAGGATCCTAAGTTCAAGGCCTACAGCTTGGTAGAATATTTGTCTAGCAAGGCCCTGGATCCAGTCAGAACTTAGTACCAGAAAAGGAAGAACAATTTTTTTCTAAGCACCTTTGAGCCTGGTATATTTCTCTTGGACAGTGCTGTTCAGTATTTTTTTTTTAAATATTTTTAATGGTTTATTTAACTTTATTTTATGTGCATTGGTGTGAAGGTGTCAGATCCCCTGCAACTGGATCTTCAGATAGTTGTGAGCTGCCATGTGGGTGCTGGGAATTGAACCCGGATCCTCTGGAAGAGCAGTCAGTACTCTTAACCACTGAGCTATCTCTCCAGCCCCTCTAGTATGGTTTTATAACTGCCATTGTCTTTCTTCAAATCAGCTTTATTGCAATATGGTTTTTACATTCTGTAAAATTCATCCATTTTAATTATGTAATCTTGATGTCCCTACAGAGATTTGCTGTCGTCACTGCAATCCAATTTTAAAACATTTTGCCACTCCGGGTGATGGTGACGCACGCCTTTAATCCCAGCACTTGGGAGGCAGAGGCAGGCGGATCTCTGTGAGTTCGAGACCAGCCTGGTCTACAGAGCTAGTTTCAGGACAGGCCCCAAAAACCACAGAGAAACCCTGTCTCGAAAAACCAAAAACAAACAAACAAAAAAAAAAAAAACCAAAAAACATTTTGCCACCCCAGAAAAACCCGTTATACTCATTTACAGTCACTCTCCATTCTAGCCTGTAGGGACTAGGCATCCATTCATTTTATTTTCTTGTTCTATATTTGCCTTTCTTGTTAGTTCATACAAGCAGAATACTGCTTGGTCTTTCACGGGAGGTTTCTCTCAATGTGTTTTCAAGGTTCATCCATGTTGCAGCATGTATCTGAAGTTCATTCTCTTTATGGCTCAATAATATTCACTTCATTCTGAGTTTAAATTTTTGTTGTTGTTATTTATTCATATTTCTCATTTTCAGGCCTGTGAGATGTCTCAGTGGGTCTTACCACCCGGCCTAGAGAGCTGAGTTTAATTCCCAGAGCCCACATGGTGGAAGAAAAGAACCATGTTACTCCTTTTTAATAGCTGTAGAATAGAATAACTACTTGTTTGTTTTGTTGTTGAGATAGCATAGTGTAAGTTGAGATAGCCCAGGCTATCCTTAAATTTGTCAGGTAGCTCAGAGTGGATTCAAACTTACGATCTCCTACCTCAGCCTTCCAGATGCTGGGATTGTAGGCAGTTAACTCCACATCAGGATAGAGGTGCTTTGTTTAAACCACCATCTAGGAAACAGTAAAGTAACACTAGCAAAGTGAGCTTCAGAAGAAATCAGGAGCATTATTTTCCTGGGTCTGCTATCTGGGGCTTCTCTGGAACTTGGCTTTTGCATTCATGAAATTAGAAAGTCTGAGAATAGATTGTTCAACAGATATTGCTTGATTGTTCTCTCTGTGTGCAAGGCCACTGGTCACCACCCTGAAGATTCAATAAAGTGATTCCTGCCCTGGGAGTGTACCCATTAGTGGAAGACAGAGAACAGTAAACAATTAAAATAAGTTGTAAGACATTATAGAACAATAGACTGAGTCATTTATGACTAGGGTATCTGGACCAGGTTTATAAAGTATTTATATGTTTAATTTGTTTGCAGGACAGGCTCCAAAACCACAGAGAAACCCTGTCTCGAAAAACCGAGGAAAAAAAAAAAAAAAACAAAAAAAATCAAGAAGTTTCACAAAAGTTTTAAAGATGAACTTTCAATATTCAATGCCCAATGCTGATGTGGGAGTGATTTCTTATTAATAAAGAAACTGCCTAGGCCCATTTGATAGGCCAACCCTTAGGTAGGCGGAGAAAACAGAACAGGATGCTGGGGAAAAGAAGCTTAGTCAGGGAGTCGCCATGATTCTCCCGCTCCAGACAGACGCAGGTTAAGATCCTCCCTGGTAAGCCAGCTCGTGGGCTACACAGAATATTAGAAATGGGTTAGAACAATATGTAAGAGCTAGCCAATAAGAAGCTGGAACTAGCCGGGCCAGGCAGTGTTTGAAAGAATACAGTTTCCGTGTAATTATTTCGGACATAAGCTAGCCATGTGGGTGGCCGGGTGCCGGGGACGCAGCCCTGCCGCTCCTATTTCAACACAATGCATAGTCCTTCATAAAAGAGTAAGAATTTGCCTGCCAGACTCATGGCTTCTTTACCCATGTAGTCATGGAGTTTATTTCAGAGGGGCTTGGGTGAGGCATACCATGTTCAGAGTTAGATTATTTTTTAAAATAGAACATTTCTGGTGATTGCTGATGGAAGCTATAGCAATAGTAAAAGCAAGAAATGTTTCAAGATTTACTGCTTTAAGAATAATAAATAATAGAATGAAAGATAAAAATGAGAAAAGGTAGAAAAAAAGTTATAGAATATATAGTAAGTTTAACATTCTAATAGAAATTACAAAGAATAGATAGGATGGTAGAATTATTAATAAAATTGTTGAGTTTTTTTAAGGTTTATTTATTTATTATATATTCAGTGTTCTGTCTGTATTTGTGCCTGCAGGCCAGAAGAAGGCACCAGATCTCATTACAGATGGTTTTGAGCTACCATGTGGTTGCTGGGAATTGAACTCAGGACCTCTGGAAGACCTGAGCCATCTCTCCAGCCCCCAGATTGTTGAAATTTTGAAAAATGAGATTATTCTTATTTTATATGAATGGGTGCCTTGCCTGTATGTCTTTGCACTATATGCATTACGGGTACCTGTGAATGCCAAAAGAGGGTGTGGGATTGCAGAAATTTATTAGTCACCATGTGAGTGTTGGTTATTGAACGTGGTTCCTCTTGAAAAGTAATCAGTGCTGGTAACCACTGATCAATCTCTCTAGCCCTAAAGAAAATTTTCTTGAAGGATTGTTTCTTGAATCAAAGTAGCCTACCTAATATACAAATAAGACAGATCCACACCAAGATATATTTTTGTCAAACACTGAGCATTGTATAAGCATCTTGAAAAAGAAACAATTTTAATTCAGTATTCTTTTAACAGTACTGAAATCTAAAAGACTTCAGAAAGAGTCCCAAATGAGCTGGGCATGGTAATACATACTTGTAATCTCAGTAGTTGTGAGAATCAAGTAGAATTGCCTCAAGTTCAAGGCTACCCTGGACTGCATAACGAATAAATACTTGGCCAGCCAGGCTGGGGTAGTAAGACTCTTAAACAACAAGCCCTTCTAAATGATTTTCATTTTGGAATTCTATATGCAATCAAGTGTAAGAGACTAAACACCTCTCTTCCAAATAAGCTGTTTCTGACCATGTTCAAATACAGCAAAGGAATAAATCAGCAAAGAGAAGAGCATAGGATCTAGGAAATGAGATCTAGGGAAGATAAATGGTTCAGATGAAAAAGATTAGAAATCTGCATGATCCCAGCACTGGAGTGGCTGAAGCAGGAGTTTTAGTTCAAGGCTAACCTGTGCTGTGTATGTAGTAATATCCCCGTATCCAAAAGCGGAAACCCCCCCCCCCCAAAAAAAAACAAAGCTGAGAGACTTACAGAAAGGCAAAAAATGCGTAGAAAAGATGTTTGGGCTTCTACCAGAAAGTTAGGGCTCAAGTTATTATATGTATACAAAACTAAGCAAATTGAGAAAGTGCTATCTATCCTCTGGAGCTGGAGTTATATTTGGTTATGAGCCACTAATTTGGGCACTTTTTTTTTTTTTTGAGGCAGGAATTAAATGTATATACCACCATGCCTGGCTGACAATGCTTTTTTTTTTTTTTTTTTTTTTTTTTGATGTCTAAACGGTCTTTTAAAACCTATGAAACGCTTCACAAATTTGCATGTTATCCTTGCGCAGGGGCTATGCTAATCTCTGTATCGTTCCAATTTTTTAGTATGTGTGCTGCCAGAGCAAGCACAATAGTCCAGGTCCATATTATTATAATTTTTTTTGAGACTTTTCTCTTTGTAGCCCGACTGTACTGGTGCTGGGATTAAATGTGTGTGCCATCACTGCCCAGCTCAGATCCATATTATTTAGAGTGCTTAAGGTTAATATTTGAAAGTCAGAAGAGATGAGTATGGTTGGCCCTGGGAAAGAGAATAACAGCACCTGCTGGTTTTGTAATCAATATCATAGAAGCATTTGACTCCCAAAACCATGTAATAAAACAAATGAATATTAATGTGAAATCATGGTCATCTTAGTGGAAAGTGTTTCTTATAATTGTATTAAAATATTAACAGGAAAGTTGAAGTGAAGTGATTTGATGCATATATTTCCTACCTCTTGCGACTCAATGGATGCCTGGGATTTTGTTGTCATACTCTGTTCCTTGAAGCTTTCCTCTGTCTCCTTTAGGATCCCACTCTTAGGTTAGGTTGCTGACAACTAGAAAGCCTTGATTTATCTCAATGGTTTTAGCCTCTTTTTTTCAACCCTTAGGTTGTTCGAACAAACCAGTGTGCAGGAGAATTCGTCATCACTTTTCCTCGTGCTTACCACAGCGGTTTCAACCAAGGCTACAACTTCGCTGAGGCAGTCAACTTTTGCACTGCTGACTGGGTGAGTCTGGAGTGTGGCGGCTGGTAGGGAGAAGTAAAAAGTTATAGGGAAGCCAAAGTACAGCTTCCTTCAGACTTGGCCAAGTTCAGCTTTGAACCTGTTCACAGCTGCCTGCTGGACGCCAGTGCATTGAGCACTACCGCCGGCTGCGAAGATACTGTGTTTTTTCTCATGAGGAGCTTATTTGCAAGATGGCTGCCTGCCCCGAGAAGCTGGATCTGAACCTAGCAGCAGCTGTACATAAAGAGATGTTCATTATGGTGCAGGAGGAGCGTCGTCTACGAAAGGCACTACTGGAAAAGGTGAGTGGTGGTGCTTTTGATCAGCCTGGTAAAGGTTGGGAAAGACAAGGGTAACTTCCAGTATAGATATAACCTTTATTCTTAGAGTGTAGTGAAAAGAGCTAGGTACACCTGACTTGAAAGCCACATTCTATTTTTAGTGTTTCAGTGCCTGACAACCATATACAGGTTAGTTTGCTTCCCTGAGGGTAAACTTCCTCATCTGAAAAAATGGAAATTGTTTGTCTTTTTAGTTTGTTTGTGAGTTATGGATATTTGTTCAGTAATTGCAGGCTATAGTTATAGTTGCTATTACCCTTACACAAATGACCCACTAAAATAGGCAGGCATATGAAACCCCTGTTGCTGATCATTTTGATCAAATTACTTAAAATTAAGTGATAGTCTCACTTTCGCACTCTGTAAAATGGTAATAAATTCCTAAGCTTTAGTGTGTTTGTTTTTAAGACAACAGACTTTCTCTGCATAACAGCCCTAGCTGTCCTGGAACTCACTCTGTAGACCATGGCATCCAACCCAGAGATCCCTGTCTCTGCCTCCCAAGTGAAAAGGTTTGGATCACCACTTCCAGCTTAAGCTGGTATTTGTAATGGTAGTTGTAAAGCTTGAGTGAATTGATATTTGTAAAAGAATCTATTATTACTCTTTCAGTGTAGTAGCTGCTAATTTAGTAGTATTAATGCATGAGGAAAATGAAGTATGGAATGTTTTTTTAGGAAATTCTATTTTATTTACTTACTGAGACGGTATTTTTGGATCCTTCTTCACAATCCCCTGAGTCCTGAAATTAATAGGTCTGCCCCGCCATACCTAGCTATTTTCTTGAATTTCCTTTTTAAACATTTGTTGTTGTTATTGTAATTTATGGTGGAATGTAACGGTGCGTGCACACCTTTTATTCCAGTGCCAGAGGCAGTCAGAGCTCTATGAATTTGAGAGCAGCCTGGTCTATATAGTCCAAGGCTACATAGTAAGCTCCTGTCTCAAAGGGGGAGCGAGTTCTATTTATTTTTATTTGTATGGGCATTTTATTTGTATGCGTATTTTGCCTACACATTTGTGAGTGTATTGTGTGTATGCAGTATTCATGGAGGCCAAAAGAGCATTACAAAAGAAAGGAAAGATCACAAAAGACTGGTGGTCCTAAGGGATCCTGAGAGGCCTGTTTTTGGGGATAATGCATTTTTTAGTTTAAAGTTCATATACAGGGCTGGAGAGATGGCTCAGTGGTTAAGAGCATTGCCTGCTCTTCCAAAGGTCCTGAGTTCAATTCCCAGCAACCACATGGTGGCTCACAACCATCTGTAATGAGGTCTGGTGCCCTCTTCTGGCCTGCAGACATACACACAGACAGAATATTGTATACATAATAAATAAATAAATAAATAAATAAATAAATAAATATTTAAAAAAAAATAAAGTTCATATACAGGCTGGCTATGGTAGTGCATGCCTATAATCTCAGCATTTAGTAAGCAGGGAGAAGAGGATTACCCTAAGTTTCAGGCCAGCCCAGGCTAAGTAGCAAGGCTTGTCTTAAGACATACACATAATAGATATATACTCATAACTTTGTGTGAGTGTTAGATATAGGTCAAGTTTCAGCTATAGTAATATTAGAAGCCTGGAGCTTCTCATTTGTTGTTAGTAAATAAATCGCTTGGCTTTTTCATGGACTTACTCTATTATTAAATGATGGTCCCATGCTATACCACAATATGAAAAGAAACAAAATCAAGATTGAAAGAAAAGAGGCTACCTTCCCATTTGGACAGAATTTTGTACATTTGGCACTTAACTCAGAGATGGGTTCTGGAACCCCCCCCCATCTTGAGATCTTTTAGATGTGATATGTGTTTTTGAATATTTTTATAGAGATGACTTAGTATGTCTATATGTCTGTGATCTGAAGAAATCTAGGGGCTTCACCCGTCCAACATTCTCTAGCTTTGAATTCAAAATTATCTGCAGTCAAATCCTTACTTTGATAAGCTGCTGGCTTTCTCTGTTATCCTTTAGTAAATGAGCTATCCTTATGAAATGCATATTCTTACCTAAAAACTAGAACTAATAATAATGTTTGTTGAATACTTCATAATTCATAGTGTTAATATATCAAGTCCTTAATTGAAATATTTAGAACAATTGAACAAGAATGATAGTTATTGCAGACAAGAGAAACAGATTGAGAAAGATTTAAATAACTTTTTATGAAGAATGGGGGATCACAGCCACATTAGCAGCAGTTTGATTTTAAAGTTGGTATATAAGACAAAACTTATTGGAGCCAGCATTTCTTCTTAAAATTCCTAAAATTGTTCGTAATTTTGTCTTTTAGTAACTTCAGTATATTTGCATATTTGATTTTTCTTCATTTTACGCATGGATTGCTTTATTTTTATATATTAAAAAACCATATAGTTGTGTTTCTGTAAGTTCTATTGGTGCATAGTGTTTCCATTTACTAAGCAGTAGTGTCTGGAACATAGTGAATGTTAGTGACTAAACCCAGCATTGTTTTCTAGGACAAACCTTACATTTCTACCTCTCTGCTGCTCAGGTCCACATTCTTTATCTCTCTCACTTACAGGCCTTTTGTTAGTCTAATTTAGGCAGTGGTGAGCCTGGGGAGGTCAGAGGACAACTTTTTGGGAGTCTATTTTCTCCTTCTACCTAAAAACATGGTTCTGGGAAGTGAATTCAGATTTCCAGTATAACAAGTGCCTTTGCCTGCTCAGTTATCATCTCCCTTGCCCTTGGTTTTGTGAGACTACAGTTTGCTGTCATCGAGTTCACAGTAATCCTTTTGCCTCAGCCTTCTGAAGGCTGAATTACAAGCATTTGTCATGTTGCCTAGATCCTAATCTGAATCTTACCCAGATTTTTCTATCTTTATGCTTTTTTTGGTCTTAAAATCCACATTGATCTGATCAATCCTGATCATTCTGAACCTGCTTTGAGATTGTGGACCTGACAGAGGGCAGATGTGATGTGAAATTTGGCTTTCCTAGTGTTCATGACCATCATCATAAATTTAAATTACTCTATGATAGCTGAGGTGGGGGTTTTTGCCATCCTCTCTGGTTCTGAATAATGTATGGGTTGTATACCCCCAGGGTATCACTGAGGCTGAGCGAGAAGCTTTTGAGCTGCTTCCAGATGATGAACGTCAGTGCATAAAGTGCAAGACCACATGCTTCCTATCTGCCCTGGCTTGCTATGACTGTCCAGATGGCCTTGTCTGCCTTTCTCACATCAATGACCTCTGCAAGTGCTCCAGTAGCCGACAGTACCTTCGGTAAGTATAGGGCCTACCTGAAGGAAGTAGGAGAGTGCAAAGTTGGGCTAAAATGTGCTTTTTCTGGTCCTTTTCCAGGTACCGATACACCTTGGATGAGCTCCCTGCCATGCTGCATAAACTGAAAGTTCGAGCTGAGTCCTTTGACACATGGGCTAACAAAGTACGAGTGGCTCTGGAGGTGGAAGATGGGCGGAAGCGCAGTGAGTGATTGCTGGGGTAGGGGTGGTGGGGGTGGGGTTGGAGGAACTCTACAGACAAGTTCTATTCCTCTTTTCTTCTGTATCCCTGACCTTTTCCTTCTGCCTTTACATATGCTGTATACTCCTTGCTGCTCTCATTCTTCCTCCAGGCCTTGAAGAACTGAGAGCACTGGAATCTGAGGCCCGAGAGCGAAGGTTTCCTAACAGTGAGCTGCTACAGCGACTGAAGAACTGCCTGAGTGAGGCAGAGGCTTGTGTGTCTCGGGCTCTGGGACTGGTCAGTGGCCAGGAAGCTGGGTATGTTGGTATGAGGTGTTGCAGCACAGATAGCTTCTGCTACTGAAAAGTATGTTACAATGGGTGGGGTTCAAATAGACTTAAGTCCATGAAGTATTATCAGGAAATTGCCAAGTATGAGCTGGCCTGGGAAGTACTGCGGAGTACAAGGAAGACAGGCAGCTTTTCATAAAGGAGAGCCTTAGCAAAAAGAAAACTTAGAAGTATTTATTTTATCAGTGTCTAGAAGATTTGAGAGGTAGGTTAAGGGATTTTGTGGGCAGGGAAGAGTGTGGGAGGTTTAGGGACTGGAATAGGACACAGACAAGAAAACCTGAACAAGTTGCAGTAGAGGATGGATTTGTAAGGGCTGGTGACGTAACTTAATGCTTACCTAGTATATGAGGCCCTGGTTTCTATCTCTGACTCTATGTAGGTCCGTTGAGGATGTAAAGTCTGGCTTTTGTTACCATTGGTTAGTTTATAAGCGCTTTCATCCTCTAGCTGTTTTCCTTCCTCTCTCCTTCTATCCCTTCATCCCGTGAATATGCTTAGATTTAAAAACTCTCCCTGTAACCTGGTCAGTTGTGGAATCATTGAGGTACAAAGATCAAAGTAGAACAGATATGGTGAGGAATGGTTTTGGCACAAATGGAAGGAGGGACCTGGGTTTGGATCTGAAATCTCACACATGAAACTCCATAGCCCCGACAGGGTGGCTGGTCTACAGATGACCCTGGCAGAGCTACGGGCTTTTCTGGGCCAGATGAACAACCTGCCTTGTGCCATGCACCAGATTGGGGATGTCAAGGTGAGGAGAGGTGGGCTTAGGTAAGACAGAGTGCATGTGTGAGGAAATAGTGGGAAGTATGAGCAAGTTTTTAGATTTGGGACTTGGAACAGTGATGTGAGTCTAAGATGCTGAGTCAAGAGAGGGCTTGCTCAAGGAAGTAAAAAGAAAAGTAATAAGGGTGTTTGTTGGGCCTGAAACAGTGATTAAGGTTTATAAAAATAAAAGGATGGAGAGGACAGGGGACCCCAGAGTGAGCAAGAGGGTTTATATAGCATAGTACTTCTTAGGGTACAGGATCTGTTAGTGCTTTGAGAACAGAACCCCATGTAAAGATAAAGTAAAAGTACAGATTTTTTGATCAATCATGTATAAAATTGCCTATGAATGTCCATTTTAATACACCCCCCCAGGGCATCGTAATGAGCAGTTAAGTGTTAACAGGAACTGCTGTTTTAGATTTCAGAGAACCAGAGTTCAGTCCATGGTAGATTTTTTTTTTCTCAGAAGGTTGTGTTGGGAGATGCTGGAGCAAAGCTATATAGTGGGACCTCTTAAGTGGCCTCAACTGAAGGATTTGTTCTTCACCCTCTATTTTGGTAGGGTATTCTGGAACAGGTGGAAGCCTACCAGTCTGAGGCCCGTGAGGCCCTGGTCTCACAACCCTCCAGTCCAGGGCTGCTTCAGACCCTGTTGGAAAGAGGGCAGCAACTGGGGGTGGAGGTACCTGAAGCCCAGCAGCTCCAGCGGCAAGTGGAACAGGCACGGTGGCTGGATGAGGTAAAACGCACGCTGGCTCCCTCTGCCCGAAGGGGTACCCTGGCCATCATGCGGGGACTGTTGGTTGCGGGCGCCAGCGTAGCCCCTAGCCCTGCTGTGGATAAGGCCCAGGCAGAGCTTCAGGAGCTGCTGACCATCGCTGAACGCTGGGAAGAGAAAGCCCACCTCTGCCTGGAGGCCAGGTAAGTTCAGCCCTTCCCTGCCATTCTTTACCTTCAAAATTTAGTAGAGAATCTGAAGAGAATGGCTGTGGGTGGCCTTGGGCATCACACCTACCCCCATTGAGTTTCTCTGCTCTTTTGTTCCTTGTCTCGTTTTTTTTCTTTTGAAGTCTGTATACGTAGAGGCAGAGGTAGGCTGATGGAAAAGCTGAGAACAGATGTGGGTGTGGGTGTGTAGCCCAGTACCAGTAGGCCAGCATGTATACATGCTCAGAAGCACAGGAAACAAGTGGATGAGTGAATATAGGTAAAAAGGTACCACACACATGGGGTGTCTGATAGACTTCAGTTACAGGATACGCAAGTGGTTAGTATGTGAGCTTTTAGCAGGCTGACAGAGTATCAGACATAGGTGCAAGAACTATGGCAGAAGCCTGGCAACTGTTTTTACCAACATAAAATCACAGAAGTATAACAAGGGGGAATAACAAGAGCCCAGCTGTATATAGCTACTGATCAGACTGGACTCTGATCCATAGGCTATGTGCCAAACTGGCCTGCTCCCCCGCCCTTTCTTTTGTTGTTGTTTTTAGGCAGAAGCATCCACCAGCCACACTTGAGGCCATAATCCATGAAGCAGAAAACATCCCTGTTCACCTTCCCAATATCCAGTCTCTCAAGGAGGCTCTTGCTAAGGCTCGGGCATGGATTGCTGATGTGGATGAGATCCAAGTAAGGACCTCCCCATCCACACTTAGACCTTCCATGTAGCTGGAAGGGACGACATACAAGGTTGTGCTGTGTTTGCATGTCTAGAGAGGAATGAGGCCCCACATATTGTGAGGAGGCAATTGTTCATGAGAGAGGGACTTCTGAGGCTGGCCTGAAGGAAGTAGGGTTCTGGTCAGGGTGAGGACGGTAGAACATGTGAGTACAAAAGGACAGGTACCTGGAAAGGAAGACCACAAAAGCATAGCTAGCCCGGTACCTCTGAAGACTTGACTGACTGCTTTGACCGACCCAGTTAGTAGATGCAGGTGTCATGCATGGTAGAGGGTATTTCTGAGGACAGCGTCAGTTGTTTCTACTTAGACAGAGCATCTTCCTAGCGTAGGTCAGACATGGAGAATTAGTAGATAATTGCAAGTTCATCTTGCCTTTCTCTCTTGCCTGTGCTTAGAATGGTGACCACTACCCCTGCTTGGATGACTTGGAGGGCCTAGTAGCTGTGGGTCGGGACCTCCCTGTGGGGCTGGAGGAACTGAGACAGCTAGAGCTGCAGGTACTGACAGCACACTCCTGGAGAGAGAAGGCCTCCAAGACCTTCCTCAAGAAGAACTCCTGCTACACATTATTGGAGGTGAGACCTGATGCATTTACCTATATTCTATTTTGCCTAGACTGGCTGTTTCGAGGTAGTTTATGTGAGAATAAGAGTTTTTGAGGGGGCACGGGGGAGGGGAGAAGATATGGGAGGTAGGGAAGCCTGGTCATTTGCCTCTGTCTGCCTGCCTCAGGTGCTCTGCCCGTGTGCAGACGCTGGCTCAGACAGCACCAAACGCAGCCGGTGGATGGAGAAGGAGCTGGGGTTGTACAAATCTGACACAGAGCTGTTGGGGCTGTCTGCGCAGGACCTCAGGGACCCAGGCTCTGTGGTAAGAAGCTTAGATACAGATGGGGAAAGAGCCTGGTGATGATTGTCTGAACCTTGTGACTGTGGGCAGACCACTTGCTCCCTGAGCTCAGTTTTCCTGCTTTGGGAGTGGGGTGTTGAGGAGGCCAGAGAGCAATGGAATCAGGTTGTTTATGTTCTTCCCCTTTCCCGGGCACGGCAGATCGTGGCCTTCAAAGAGGGGGAGCAGAAGGAGAAGGAAGGGATCCTGCAGCTTCGTCGCACCAACTCAGCCAAGCCAAGTCCACTGGCATCATTGACCACACCCTCCTCTACAGCCTCTATCTGCGTGTGTGGGCAAGTGCCAGCTGGGGTGGGAGCTCTGCAGTGTGACCTGTGTCAGGACTGGTTCCATGGGCGGTGTGTGACAGTACCCCGCCTCCTCGGCTCCCAGAGGCCCAGTCTTACCTCATCCCCACTGCTGGCCTGGTGGGAATGGGACACCAAATTCTTGTGCCCTCTTTGTATGCGCTCACGGCGCCCACGCTTGGAAACCATCCTGGCACTGCTGGTAGCCCTACAGAGACTGCCTGTACGGCTGCCTGAGGGTGAGGCGCTACAGTGTCTCACAGAGAGAGCCATCAGCTGGCAAGGCCGTGCCAGACAGGTTTTGGCCTCTGAGGAAGTGACTGCTCTGTTGGGACGGCTGGCTGAACTCCGCCAACGGCTACAGGCTGAATCCAAGCCTGAGGAATCCCTTGCTTACTCTTCAGACACTGGAGAGGGCGCTGACAATATGCCGAAGGTGAGCTTCTTAGCCCAGCTCTTAGCCTCAAATTTCTGTCCCCTGACTTGTACATAGGTTTCAGCTCTATCCTTGTGCTCCAGTTTTAACACTTTGGCCCAGCCTTTTTGTTCCATCCTATATCTGTCCATACTCGTAGACCCTGCTCTCTGCTGGCGCCCCATGCTTGCCCTTCCTCCAGGAGGCAGAGTCTCTGAGGTTTGGTGTGGGTGAAGGAAGAGTAGGGCCTGGCTCTTCAGTTCAGTTACCCCCTGCCTTTTCCTGATCTTGATATTTGATAGGTGCAGGGGCTGTTGGAGAATGGGGACAGTGTGACCAGTCCTGAAAAGGTAGCCACAGAGGAGGGCTCAGGTAAGAGAGGTAGGTCTAGCTGTAGTATGAGTGGGGTGTTGAATGGCTATTACCAGTGTGGCCCCCAATGTCCTCAGCTCTGTTCTAGTTGGTATAGGATAAGATCAAGGACAGCCTCTAATCCAGCCTATGCCCACAATTTTCAGATCTGGAACTGCTATCCTCACTATTACCACAGCTGACTGGCCCTGTGTTAGAACTGCCTGAGGCAACCCGAGCCCCACTAGAGGAACTTATGATGGAGGGGGATCTACTTGAGGTGACCCTAGATGAGAATCAAAGCATTTGGCAGCTGCTGCAGGCTGGACAGCCTCCAGACTTGGAGAGAGTCCACACACTTCTGGAGGTAAGGAATAGGAGTCATTCATTGACATGGCCAGGTCAGGCCAAGTAGGCAGAGAGCTCTCGGGGCCCTGACTACTTGCCTGTGCTTGTCTTTTGAGATGGGTGGGGGCAATGATAGGATCTTGTTATGTAGCCCTGAATGGCCTGGTAACTTGTTATATAGTCCAGACTGACCCTTTCCTTAGCGTTGGAAGTGCTGGGATTACAGTCATGCACCATCTACCAGGCATCTCTTTAAAGCTGCCTTTTGGCCTTTTGTGTTCACAGCTGGAGAAGGCAGAGCGCCATGGGAGTCGGACACGAGGCCGAGCCCTAGAGAGGAGGCGGCGAAGGAAGGTGGATCGGGGTGGGGAGGCTGATGATCCAGCCAGAGACGAGCTAGAGCCAAAGAGGGTACGGAGCTCAGAACCAGAAGCCGAGGAAGTCCAGGAGGAAGAAGAACTGGAGGAGGAGTCTGGGGGTGAGGTCCCTCCTGTACCCTTCCCCACCAATGGCAGCCCCAGCACCCAGGAGGACCAGGATGGCTTAGAACCAGTGTTAGAGGCTGGTTCAGACACCTCAGCCTCTTTCTCTACTCTGACTTCCCGGCTGTTGATGTCCTGCCCACAGCAGCCATCTCGGCAACAATTGTGACAGTGGCTGAGCCTAGCACAGACCCCAACAAAGATCCTTCCTTGGCCTCAAGGATCCTTTCTGACCATCAAGCCTGCTTCTTGGAGGTGGGCGGGTAGGTGGAGAGATTCCCCCCTCACCACCATCCCTAAGACCGTGACTTTTATATTCTGACTCCAAGGTATTGTTCAGACCTCAGCTCCTGGGGGCCGGCCCCTGGAGTCCTGCGTCCCTGGTAACCTCTAACCAGCATTCCCAGACACCAGAGGCAGATAGACACAGGTGGGCAGGGGATCTACTGGGGCTAGGCCAGCACCATTCCAGAGACAAATGCAGGGCACATGCAAACTGGGGGACCTCTCCCTTCTCCCCAGTTCCGGCCCTGGTCAGGCCATGCTACACTAACCTCCCCAGCCACACACTCTTTTGCCTCCTGCCTCCTTTTTACTCCCCTCTCCCCTCATCTTTTCCCTTCCCCTTACTGTTCTACCCAGGAGGAGGAAACTTCACATAGCTGTCCTCACTTTTTTATTTGAAATAAATTTTGTTGGGGTTGAACAGGGCTGCCTATGGTCTGAAGGCTTTTGGTGCTTGTCCACACACCCACCTCAACCCTTCCTGCCCATCCTCCCCGTCTCCTCCTCCTGGGTTCATGCTGTAATAAAAGAAGATTGTTGGTGTGTAATTAATTTGTTCAAAAGGAGAAAAAAAAGCAAAACAAGAAACTTTGTTCCAACTAAAGCCTATTTTAATTTTATTTTATTATTTTCCTCGTTAGAAATAAAACCCTTAGGAATGTTTTTTGGAAACATGTTTCTGAAGTGCATTTCTCTTGAAAAGGAGAGTAGACCCTTCCTCGCCTAGTAATGAAGCAGCTGCAGTGCTAGTGGTAGTGCCAGGGCCGAGTCCAGGGAGTCAAGGCTCTGAATCGGAACCTTCCCAGCCTCTCTAACCTTGGAAAAGATCTCTTCCTCCCCCCAGCCATTTCCCTGTCTTCCGACTGGTGGGCACTGGTCCCTCTTGGGAATTTGCACAACAGCTTCCCCTAGCTTTGTGCTCTTGTTTTCCTGTTCTGAGGGGGACTTTTTCTTCATGGCTTTATTATTGAAGTATAGTTTCCATTCTATAAAGTTGAGCTGTTTTAAATATGTTATTTGGTGAGTCAGACTATCCTTAATGTTTCTCTGTTAGTTTCTTTCTGCCCCTAATGAATGTGTGGCTAATTTGTAATTTCTATGTCACTGTTAAACTGCTCTATTGAGATGAAATTTGAGTACCATACAGTTCATCCAATTCAGTATACAATTCAGTGACTTTTAGTATATTTCAGTCATTGAATGAACCTTCACTGCAAAAAAATTTTAGAATGTTTTTATGACTCTTAGAAGAAACCCCACATTCCCTAGGTGTTCCCTCCCCACTCCCATTTGTCTCTTCTGGACATTTTATATAAATGAAATTATACAATATATGATCCTTTTGTGTCTGGCTTCTTTGACTTGGCATAGTAGCTTCAGGCCTATTAATAGTCCTACAATATAGATTTCACCCTTCTGAACCTGAAAAATGAAGGGACTGTACTTGATTAGGGACTGCCCTCTTGAAGTATGTTTATGCACGTTTTTTTGTGGGTATCTGTATGCATTTCCCCCCAGATAAGACCCATCATATTTATAAGGGGGCCTTAATCCTCCAAAGACTAAGAAGCATTCTTTTGTGGTTCTGAGTGTTCTCTAACACTCTATGAAATAGAGGAGGAAGCAAAAGCTTGGAGGCCCTGAACTAGCTTCCAGGCATCTCTGACTTCTCCAAGGTTTTTCCTCTTCTCAAGGTTGTATAAGGTGTTCTAGGCTAAAGTCAAGTCTTGATCCCCCTAGCTCAGGAACTCAGCATACCGGCACTCTTACTGTGCCCTTTCTCGTTTTATGTTCAGAAAGATCACTTTGGTCCATTTCTCCCCTTTCCAGGATTTCCACTTGCTAAAAATCTGGTGTTAAAGAGATATCTCACTCTCTTTTGGTGACTTTCTGGTGGGAGCATGGCTTAGACCTGCCTCATCTGGTCTTATAGTCTCTGTTGAAAGGTGAACCAGTCAACAGTAAATACCCCTGCCCTGGGTCTATTTTGATCCTAAGTTGCAATCAAGGGGAAAAGGCTGGCCTTTGCCTGCCCATTGACATTAATCATGGGTTCCAATGAGGATTGGAGGTAGCAAAAGAGACACCTGGGACAAGTACCCAAAGGAGCTTTATCTTGACATACCACTCTACCAAGCAACCAGGCACTAGAAGAGGCGGCCAAAAGAGGAAAAGAGGAACTACTTCCCACAGCAGTTCCTAGGCTAGTGAACCGCTCAGGCCAAGGTAGGGGTTCCTTGTGTTATGGACCTATCCCTCACCAATTTTCAGACAGCTTTTCTCAGCTTAGCACTTTATGCCTTATTCTTCTCATATATCTGCCCCTTTCAGTGTACATATAGCTGTCATTGATGCAAAACTGTCTTAGGGTTTCTATTACTGTGATAGAAGACCTTGACTAAAAGCAGCTTGGGAAAGAAAGGGATGTTTCCATCTTACAGCCCGTCATCCAGAGAAGTAGGCAGGAACTGACACAGGCTGTGGAAGAGTACTACTGACTGGCTCAACCTGCTTTCATATAGCACCCAAGACCACCAGCCCAGGGTGGCACATCCCACAGTGAGCTGGGCCCTTCAATATCAGTCATCAATCAAGGAAATGCACCATGGGCTTGCCTAAAGGCCAGTCTTTGGGGAGCATTTTCTCAATTGAGGTTTCCCTCCTCTCTCAAGAGAGCACAAAATGAGTGGGAAAGGTTTACCTCAGAGTCATTTAGTTTACAGATTCCACCTTGCTGCTACATCCAACCAGACAGTTCCATTCCTGTCAGGATAGCACCTGAGTATTCGGGGGATGGAAAGAGATACTGCCTCTACTAAAGACAGATTATTCTCACCCTCTACCCCTTCTCTTTGAGACACGGTCCCTCTGCGTAGCCCTGACTATTCTGGAGCTTGTTATGTAGACCAGGCTGGCCTTAAACTCACAGAGATCTGCCTGCTTCTGTCTCCTGAGTGCTTGGATTGAAGGTGTGCCGCCACTTCCAGCATCTAAATTCCTCTCTTGTCCCAACTGTCCATTTCTTCCTCCTCTAGCTATTCAGTGCCTCCATTGTGCCTTAAATCATAGCTGAAACACCATAGGTTTAGTGAGTCTCTCCCCCCTACCTGAAACTTCCTATATTAAGAGTTCCTAGAGGAAAAAAAGCAAGAACCAGGCCTGAGTCCTCTTGCTACTTCAAGGCTGGGGATGGGGGTGGCAGTCTTGCATAGCTGATTGAGAAAGAGACAGCTACAAGCAGCAGTTGCAACCCTGACATTGCATGTGAATTCTGTTCCTTCTGTGCTGTATGATGTCCACTGTTCCAGGGTGACACTCTGGAAGTGGGGCCTGAGTCTGGGCCTTGGTCATCAGAGCCCTAAAGGAGAAACATTAATCGTGTCCTAGAAGACCAGAAATTACAGTGACGAGAGAAACAAAGTAGAGAATCTTTGTCTCTGGGGCACTTAAATCCTGGGTACTAAGCTCCATATAAGAGATTTTGGCAAAGTTCTTAGATCCCTGGGAGCATAGGCTGTGACCTGTGATTTTTTTTTAACCCCCCCCCCCCTCTAGGTTTTTGAGACAGGGTTTCACTGTGTAACAGACTGGCCTCAAACTCACAGAGGTCTGCCTGCCTCTGCCTCCTGAGTGCTAGGATTAAGGTGTGCGCCACCACCACCTGGTTAGGATTGTGTTTCTTAATCTTCTTTAAATCCAAAGCCCTACTCTTCATATCAGAAGGGTTCTAAATAACTGGTGTGCCACCAGAATATTGTTCATGGTGGAACTTTATTGTTAGTAAACTGGAAACTCAGCAGTGTTGGCTTGATAGGTAAAAGCCCATGTGGCTAAGGTTCTGAATAATTCCCGTCCCTGTATTAGGTATGTATTGCTCTAAGACAATAACTTTCCTGGCACATATCTCTAAAACCAAACCTTTGGAGGTCGGAGCAGGAAGATTCCAAGTTGGAAACTATGCCAAGTTGTACAGTGGGTCCCTGTCTCAAAAACAGCTAAAACTCTTACAAGCAACGTTTAGCTCATATATCCGTGGGCTAGAGATCTGGATACAATTTAGCTGAGTTATTAGGGTCATTCACAGGCATCAAGGTGTGAGCACTTGCAGTCATTTCCAGGTTTATTTCTGGAAAAATCTACTTAGAACTTGTGTCATTGGATGTTGGCGGGATTTAGTTTCTTACTGGCTGTTGGACAGAATTCACTTAGTTCCTTGCATGTAAGTGGATCCTTTCACAAGACAGCTCACAACATGGCAGCTTGCTTCTTGAGATCAATTAAAATGGGCAAGAGACAGAAATGAGTCTTTATAATCTAATCTCAGAAGTGACATTCCATTGATTTTACAGTTGACAATATTCATTAGAAGCCAGTAGGAGGGAAAGGGGGAGTCTAGACTATTCAGAAGGAAGGAATTAAGACTAGGTGCTAGAGGGTGGTGGCATTCATTGAGGGGTCATCTTGGAGATGAACTACCATGGTTTATTCTCTGGTACTTAACTCATATGTCTTCCACATACAAAATATATTTATTCCTTAAATTCTCTTAAATCCCATTACAGCATTCCCCTAAGGTGCTAAATATGAATGAAATGCCTTGGGCATAATCCCAAGTACTGTTTTTCTCTATGGGTAGAACTGTGAAACTTATAAACACAAGTTCCCAGTTCCTAATAGATATGGTGGGAAAGGCACATTATTATAAGCATTCCAGTGCAGAAAAGGCGGTTGGAAGCAGGAATAACTGATCTGTAATAAGTCAAACCCAGCGGGGCAAATGAAGTTTCTTCATTGATTCCAAGACCTGGAGATGAGTTTTCATCCTCCTGGCTCTGCTCTCTGGGCTTTTGGTCCCACCTGTGCTTCCTTTTTCATAAGCAGTAGCACATGTTTGCAACTGAGGATTTTTAAGACAAAGGGCTTAGAAGGCTTTTGGCATGTAGAATATTATAGCAGGAACTATAACCAGATTGGCCTTCAGGGCAGCCCTTACTTAGATCTCACGCCTGCCATCATGGTCACATTGTTCAGGAACCTGTTAAGAGTAAATATTGACCACATCTCCAGAATGCAGTATCTCTTCTGAGATTTTCCTCACTAGTGGTGCTTGTTTATGTGGGTCATGAAAATTCTCATGGTGTGTTCATTCCAAGATGGATGACCATCCACATAGGCCTTTTCCCGCAAATATCTTTTCAGCATTTCAGTCTTGTTCTTTCCAAATCCTTGACTGTATAAGCAGACATGAATCAGCTGACAGCTCTCTATCTGACCAATTATGTAATGTTTTTCCTACTGGGAGGATTTCCTTCTCACTTTTTTTCAGTGTCAGCCCTAAGTGGAGCTATAACTCTGAAACTAGCCACTCCTGGCCATGCTAGCATGTTGTGCAGAGCATCTCTGTAAGCCAAGCTTTAATACTGTATCCCTTAGTTTGTCTGGCCTTTAGGGGCCCCCAAGAGGACTTGGATGACGTTTTCTCAGATGAGTAGCAGGTGTGATCTTCCAGAACTGCATGTGACTTATTGGACCTGGTACAACAGTTAACACATTGCTGTTTGCTGTCATATGCTCAGATGTTCATTCGAAAAAATAGGTCTGCTTTTCTATTTTTATTTTTCTTTGCTTCTGAGATCTTGCCACTTGCAGTTTTATCCTTCATTTTTGTTTGTTTTGTCTTATAAATATGTTGTATCTTGGGCCAGTGAGATGGCCCGATGGGTAAAAGCTCTTGCTTCTCAAGACTGGTGACCTGATTTCAATCCTAGGGATCCATGTGGTATGAGAGAATCAACTTGTGCAAGTTATCGTGATCTCTGTGTGTGAGCATACACATACATAGATGTAATAAAAATAATTTTAAAATGTTGTATCTCTTTATTTTCTGTTAATTCCCAGAAGTTCTTAGTCTGATCTTTCAACTCACTAATTGTTCTTCTGCTATGCCCCTTGTATTTGTTTTTTAAACTATAATATTTTTATTTATTCTTTGAGAATTTCATAAATTATGCAATATATTTTGATTATATCCACCTCTACTACCACTTCTAACCTCCCCAAATATATCCACCTCCAAACTTCGCATCTTTTTTATTTTATGTGTATGTGTGTGCTTTATGTATGTGCACCACATGTATGTAGGAGCCCTTGGAGGTCAGAAAAGCCATCTGATCCTCCAGAACTGGAGCTACAGATGGTTGTGAGCCACTATGTGAATGATGAGACTTGAACCCGGGTCCCCTGCAAGAGTAGTAAGTGCTCTTAACTGTTGAGCCATCCCTTAAGCCCTGTCTTTAAATTATACTTTTGAGTGCAATTAGTGCTGCCTGTATGTGCATGGATGTGGGGCCCCAACCATTGGAGCATGAGCTTCCTACAAGTGGCCATACCAAAAAATGACTCTTCCTCCCCTAGCGGGGCCCTTCTTTATATTATGTATATTTGTGCATTTAAATAAAGTATCCACAAACTGGAAAAATCTCCTGGGCCAATAAAATGACTTAGAACAAAACTTCATTTATAATATGATCCCACTCTAGTTGGTGGACCATAATAATAGTCTGGACCAGCAGAGAATAGCACAAGTAGGACTTAAATTTTCAGGCTGCCATAAGTTTTGGTGCTAGGAAAACCATACTGAATTAACCATTACTACAGATCTACACGGGTCAATAAATTCTGGTTACCGCAATGGTTCTGCTTTCCATTAAAGAAACCAAACTCAATCTGCCTCTGGAGGTGATTTTATAGTCTCCACTGAAATCATCAAAACATGGCATTGTAGTCTTTATCATCTACATCCTAGTCATTCGAAAGAGGAAATGACCAACGGAGAGGTTTTTAGAAAGTCAGACACTGGGCATACCTACCCAATTGCAGAAGACATTAAAGTGTAGTCTGAATTTATCCTCAGGAAAGAGGAAAATGACTTAATGGCTACCAGGCCAGTCTCAGCTACACTTCATACTCTCCACAGTTCTTGTGAAAGGGATGGTAATGAAGTGAGTGAGTTGAGTGGTTTTCTATAGCTAATCAACTCTAAGATTCTTTTGCCTTAAACATTTGCATTTCTCTACGTTGTTCACAGAAGTCCTGGCATCTTAACTTCATTTTACAAACTTACTGTTACAGACAGTTGGACAATTGTAAGCTGTCATATGGGTGCTGGGAAATGAATCCAGGTCCTCTGCAAGAGCATTAAGTGCTCTTAGCCACTGAGCCATTTCTTCAACCCTATCTTTTTAAAACAACCAAGTGAGTGTAATTAGTGCTGCCTGGATGTGCATGGGTGAAGGGCCAACTACTGGAGTATGGGCAACCTACAAGTGGCCATACCACTAAAGGAAAAATGACTGCCCACCCCCCACCCCCGTAGGGCCCTTCTCTTTTATGCCATGTATATTGTATATATTTAAATAATGTATCCAGAAACTGGAAAAATACCCGGGCCAATAAAATGACTCATTAACTTGTTAACTAAGTTTTGAATAACCAATAAAACAACTTTTAGAAATACTCATAGCGCTGGGCATGGTGGCACACACCTTTAATCCCAGAACTCAGGAAGCAGAGGCAGGTGGATCTCTGAGTTTGAGGCCAGTCTGGTCTATATAGTGAATTCCAGGATAGCAAGATACATAGTGAGACCCTGTCTAAATAAAACAAAAAGCCCAAGAAACTGGGCGGTGGTGGTGCACACCTTTAATCCCAGCACTGGGGAGGCAGAGGTAGGGGGATCTCTGTAAGTTCAAGGCCAAAAAACCAAACCAAAAAAAAAAAAAAAAAAAAAAAAAAAAAAAAAAAAAACAGTTTAAATAGGCCTGGATGTAGGGGGAGAGCCTGGGACTTCCCACAGGGCAGGGTTCCCTGCCCTCTCTCAAGCAGGGAGGGGGAGGGAGGAGGGTGAGTGGGGGAGCACGAGGGGAATGGAATGAGGGGAGGAAGTGTAAATTTATGAATGGAAAAATAAAAAACAGTTTTAAAAAAAGGCCCAAGAAATAAGAGATACTGCTTCAACTAATACAGTATACTTAGTATTAAATGTATAATGTATATAGGATTTCTAATGTCTATTTCCATATTTAAAAGGTATCAAAAACAAAGATATCACAAGAAAAGATGGCTACAAAACATCTTTAATGAATATAAAACAAAATCTTCAGTCAAATCCAGCAACAATGACAAGTAGAAATGCCATAGTGATTTGTTATAAGAAAATGACATTAATAGAACAAAGGGAAAAAACATGAGCACCTCAGTTCATACACAAAATACATTTCAGATGAGGAAAGATGTAAAGCTAGTACATTCCAAAAAGTTGCAGGATGCAAATCAGTTTTTACACGTTAATAATGATTCAAAATGAAATTGAAAGCAATTCCATTTCCAGTAGCATCTGAAAGAGCAAATGCCTAGGAGTACACTTAATTATGGAGGAGAAAGACATAGTGAAAAAATTAAAGATCTGGAGAGAGAACTCAGTGGGTAAAAGCTGGCTGCTCTTCCCAGAGGACCCAGTCTCTGCACCTCATGGCAGTTCACAACTGTCTGTAATTCCATTTCTGGGGATCTGGTGCCCTCTTCTGGCCTCCAAGGGCACCAAACATGCAAGTGTACAAGCATACATGCAGAAAGAACATTCATACAAAAAGCATCTTCTGAAAAATATTTAAAGGTTCTTGAGATAAATTAAAATACCTAAAGAAATGAAAAGATACTCATATTCATGGATTGAAAGACAATGTTAAAATGTAATACTAGCCAAAGTGAGCCACAAATTCAATGTAGTCCTATGAAAATTCAAACAGCTTTTATAAGAAATAGAAAAATCCAGGGGCTGGAGAGATGGCTCAGTGGTTAAGAGCACTGGCTGCACTTCCAAAGGTCCCAAGTTCAATTCCCAGCAACCACATGGTGGCTCATAACCATCTCTAATGAGATATGGTACTCTCTTCTGGCCTGCAGGGACATATGCAGGCAGACCACTGTATATTTAATAAATAAATAAATCTTAAAAAAAGAAGAAGGGCTGGAGAGATGGCTCAGTGGTTAAGAGCACTGCTTGCTCTTCCAAAGGTCCCAAGTTCAATTCCCAGCAACTACACGGTGGCTCACAACCATCTGTAATAAGATCTGGTGCCCTCTTCTGGCCTGCAAGCAGAGCACTGAGAACACTGTATACATTAAAAAAAAAAAAAAAAAAAAGAAATAGAAAACCCAGTCCTTAAATTCACATGGACTTGCAAAGGATCAATATAATAAATAGCCAAAATAATTTTGAAAAAGAACAAATGATGCTAGAGATTGAAGTCATCTAAATTCTCCCCCCAGCCAACCAGTTAGTTTCTGACTATACAGTAAGGAAGAAAATAGTCTCCCTCACATAGGGTGCTGAAAATTTCCACATGCGAAATAATGAAGTTGGAACCAGGCAGTGGTGGTGCACACCTTTAATCTCAGCATTTACAGGCAGAGGCAGGCGGATCTCCGTGGGTTCAAGGCCAACCTGGTTTACAAGAGCTAATTCCAGAGCAGACTCCAAAGCTACAGAGAAATTGCCTTTTATTTGTTTATTTATTTATTTGGTTTTTTTTTTTCAGAGTGAGGTTGAATATTTATTCAAGGGGTTGTGGAGGGGAAAGGGGAAAGGGAAGACAGAGAGAGAGGAGGAGGAAGAGAAAGAGACAGAGAAGGCTGGAAGCAGAGAAGTGGGGAGAGGAGAGAGGCAGAAGCTAAGCCTTTATTTGGTTTTTTTGAGACAGGATGGATGGGGGTGAGGAGTGGGGGGGGGTGGCAGGGGCGTGGCTTCTCTCTTAAAGGGACAGGGCGACCATTACATGCATAGACTTAATTTTTTAAAGGGCAGACAATTTGAATAGGTATTTCTCCAAAAAAGATATGAAAAATATCAAGAAGCACATTAAAAGATTCTTAATGTCAGCTGGGTAGTGGTGGTGCATGCCTTTAATCCCAGTACTCAGGAGGCAGAGGCAGGCAGATCTCAGTGAGTTTGAGGCCAGGCTGGTCTACAAGAGCTAGTTCCAGGAGAGCTAGGGCTGTTACACAGAGAAATTCTGTCTTGAAAAGCCAAAAAAAGAAAAAAAAATTCTTAGTGCTACACACACACACACTTCTTTTTCTGAGATGAAGTCTCTGTGTAGCTCAGATTGCGCTGGAGCTTGCTGTGTGTATCCAAGGCTGGCCTTAGACTTGGATCTTTCTGGTTCAGTCTTCCAAATGTTGGGATTACAGGCATACACCTAGTTCAGTATACATTGGCCACTCTCCTGATGATATTACAAAACAACAACAATAACCAACTAAACAACAACAACAACAAAAAAAAAACCACTCCGCTACTTTTTTTTTAAAAAAAAGGTTAATTTAGGGCTGGAGAGGTGGCTCAGTGGTTAAGAGCATTGCCTGCTCTTCCAAAGGTCCTGAGTTCAATTCCCAGCAACCACATGGTGGCTCAGAACCATCTGTAAAGAGGTCTGGTGCCCTCTTCCGGCCTGCAGACATGCACACAGACAGAATATTGTATACATAATAAATAAATATTTTTTTAAAAAAAGGTTAATTTATTATGTATACAGTGTTGTGTCTGCACACCGGAAGAAGACATCAGATCTTATTATTGATGGTTGTGAGCCACCATGTGGTTGTTGGGAATTGACCTCTGGAAGAGCAGCCAGTGTTCTTAACCCCTGAGCCATCTCTCCAGCCCCTATACCACTACTTTTAATGTTGCAACACTGGAGGGACAGCGCAGGAAGGCTTCTCCCTGCTAATTTGAAAGATGAGCCAAACAGTTTGCAATAACCACAGGGGGTATGTGACATAAATTACAGGCCTACTTGGGACATTAGA